GTAGGAGGACTGTTATTGTTATTTTAACTCCTGCCACAGTATGTGGGCAATTCTCCTTTTTTCTGTCTCTAGTTAACCATGAAACGTCTTTCTTTAAAACCTCACCCCTGGAATAGGTTTTTGCTCAGTAAGAAGCAGAACAATTTGGGGTCTGAGTATAACGGCCAGCTGATACTACAGATGAGAAGAGGCTTTCATAAAGGAAACATCAGATAGCCTCATTTACCAATAGAGTTTATTTTTAGAATGTTTAATCTGCCTTTAAAATTACTCACACAGAGAGAGGGCCATGGGCCAGAGCTGAGTGCTGATGAGATAGTAATCAGCCTGTCAAGGTACTTATTTTCAGAGAGGATGGTGAAAATACCAGGTTTTCTTTCTCTTTTCCCTAACTGTTGAGGGTATTGTGGTCTGACTGTTTGTCTTTCTCTTGCCAAGTGTTCTCAACAATATAAACACTCATCAAGTGCTGCTCTAAGGAATATTGTAAAAATAAAAAGTCAGCCTATTTTACAGAAAATTGTCTTAAGGGCTAAAATTCACCCATCAATGAGTGATGAAAAGATATACATCTGTTCTGAGGATAAAGCAAAATTTAAGCAATATCGGGTTGTAGCAAGTCTTTTTGTTTTTTAAGGATTTATTTATTTATCGTGAGTGGAGGGAGGGGCAGAGGGAGAGAAAGAGAATCTTCAAGCAGACCCCCTGTTGAGCACAGAGCCTGAGGTGGGGCTAGATCTCAGGACCCCTAGGTCATTGACCTGAGCTGAAATCAAGAGTTGGACGTAACTGATAGAGCCACCCAGGCACCCCAGGCTGTAGCAAGTCTTGATATTGTTCTTTAGATAAAAGATGGCATGTAATTATAAAATAAGTATTTTCTGCTCTTAAAATGGGTTTCTCATTTCTACCCAGCTGATTTGTGCTTGATTTGTCTTTGTAGTTTTGGTACTATAAATTAAGATTCAAGATTATATATCAATAGAATTAAGTTTTTTTTAAAGATTCTATTTATTCATTTGAGACAGAGATACAGAGAGAGAGAGTATGAGCAGGGGGAGAGGCAGAAACGGGCTCCCTGCTGAGCCAGGAGCCCGATGCGGGGCTCGATCCCAGGACCCTGGGATCATGACCTGAGCCGAAGGCAGACGTTTAACCATCTGAGCCACCCAGGCACCCTAGTAGAATACAGTTTTATCATAATGCTATAAAATCATGTGTCAAGATCATGCATGAAACCTCCTCAGCATTCCAGAAGCAATTGACTCTATTAAGACAAACTGAAAGAACCCTTAAAAGGGCATACAACCATCACTGATGTTCATTAAAGACATCGTGTGTATTCCACAGTAACCCTTGCGTACCTATTCAGTCCTTTAGCAAGTGAGGGTCCACCAAGATGGAGACACTGTTCTAGACACAGCTCAGAATGTCACACAGTCTCTGTCCTCAGTTGGGGGGAAATGATGTTGAGAGGATGTCAGGGAGGTAAAAGATGTCAGCTTGTATAGCACCTTGCTGGCAACAGTAAGAGTCTAGGATTTATTCTGAATATTATGGGCAGCCATTGGTAGATTTTGAAAAAAGGAGTCATACCAATTGATTAAGATTTATAGAAGATCACATTCTGTGAACAACAGACTATAGGAGAGCGAGACTAGGCGCAGGAGGCTACTGCAGTGGTCAAGATGAGAGTGGACTCCGATGACACAAGTAGAGATAATGAGATGTGATCACATCTGGACAGGAGCCAGCTTGGTCCTGTTATTATCTGCTATGAGGCTTAAGGGGGTAAAAAAAAAATACTTCTAATGGGAGTAGAGGCTGAAAATCAACCAATTGTCAGGGTTGTTCATCTCATTGTAGTGTTTACATGGGGCTTTTGTGTCGAAGAGATGTTATTACATGAAGTAGTAAGACTCTTAAACTTCAGATACATATATCAAGCTCTACATTTAGAATTACATGTATTAGGTTTGAAATATTCACTTCTAAATTTATAGAAAAATTAGTAATAACAGCAAATGACTACAAAGATTATGTCATTTACAAAGCATCTTTACTCCTATTATCCCATTCAGGTTAATCTAATTGGCATGGTTAGGTGACCAGAAAGGTAATTCCTTGGTAAACAATGTTAGGATAGCATAGCAAGAGAGAGATAGCTAATTAAATAGTCACTTTCATGGGATTACTCAAGGGATCTTTGCCATTTGCAAACAACCTGTTTTCTCTCTCTGGATTAATGTTGTGTCTTCCTTGCTTTTCTTTTTTTCTTTTCTTTCTTTTTCATTCTTTTTTAAAAATTTACTTTAAAAGAGAGAAAGAACAAGTGAGAGAGAATGACTGAGAGAGAGTAAGCTTGAGCAGGGGGGAGCGGCAGGCAGAGGGAGAGGGGGAAGCAGGCTCCCCGCGGTGCTCAGTCCCAGGACCCGGGGATCATGACCTGAGCCGAAGGCAAATGCTTAACTGACTGAGCCATCCAAGCGCCCCTCTTCCTTGCTTTTCTAAGATCAGTCCCTTTAAGTCACATAAAAGGATCCCAGTAAATATTAGTGGAATAAATGAAACTGCTATTTCTTTTTTTTTTTAAGATTTTATTTATTTATTCATGAGAGACAGAGGAGGAGAGAGAGAGAGAGACGCAGAGGGAGAAGCAGGCTCCCAAGGAGCAGGGAGCCCCATGCGGGACTCGATCCCAGGACCCTGGGATCATGACCTGGGCCGAAGGCAGACACTTAACCATCTGAGCCACCCAGGCGCCCGAAACTGCTATTTCTGTGTCAGATAGGTTAGGTAGGTTTTCTCGATTCTTTTTCTTGTAGACAGTATAGTTTTGGAATTCAAGAGAAATGAGTTTGAATCTAGCTCTGCAATCACGATATGATCTTGATTAAGTTGCCTGACATAAATGGACCTCAGTTTCCCCATCTGAAAATATGCACTGCACTTTTGACCTGGGAGGCTTACACAGTCTTGCATTTCTCAGATATGCCCACCAAAGGCTAGTTTATCCCTACTTTCTTCCCCAACTGAGCCAGAGGAGTCATCGACTCCCTTAAGAAAATAAGCTATAAAAGATTCTATGTCTATAAATCTTAATAATGCATATTGATATTTCTTTTACCTTAAAGAAATGCTAGAATTAACTATAATTTTAGAGAAAATTAGAGAAAATCCTTTTTCTTTAAGTTTCCCTCATGATTTCTGAAGGAAATATGAGCAACCAACATGGGCCAAATGAGAGTGTTTTTAAGTATCTTAAATTTCGAAGGCAGTATTTTACATTGCATTTGGGAATAGTTAGCATTTCATCCATGGGTAAATAAAACAGATTTCATTATTGTATTATGGCAAAAGCAGTTTAAAAAAACCACAAGTCCCATTAGTTAGCAAGATCCTTATAGCTAGTAAAGGAAATACTTTTCTAATAGGAAAAAAACTAAGCATAAACAGAATTGGTATAGTATCACATATTAAGAACTTTGGATTTTTATACACAAATGACAAAGATGTCTTGAAAGCCATGGTTAAACCATTTTAGCATTAAATCTTCAAAATGTTAAAAGTTATTTGGATGCAGTAATTAATAATACTAAGCACCAGATGACTGAAACATTACAGTGAGTCAACTTTATGACAAAGTGAGTCAACCAGATCTTCATGTATCAATATGGCTGCATCTCTAAATATAATGTTGGGTGAAGGCAAAAGAATGTCTATAGCATGGTACCATTTATATAAACTTTTAAAATGTGAATAAATATATGGCATGTTGTTTCACACACACCATTAAAATATTAGAACACACATAGGAAGGCTATATCATCTTCAGGATTGTGATACCTTTCAGAAAGGAAAAGGAGCAAGATGAACTTTTCTTCTCTCTGTGATGATTTAGTTTGTCAGAAAAGATCTGAACAAAGTTTAATATCAGCACTTGTTTAATCCATGCGGCTGATGCTTTGGTATTTATTGTAATATTTTCTATATATTTCTTTGAAAATTTTGTTAAGTTTCTAGCTTAAAAATAAGGTGATAAATAATAAAAACAGTAAAGCATATATTGCTGTGGCCAATTTAAGATTGGATATTCAGTTCTTCTAATAAAAAGAATTAAATTAAAATACATTCTTCATTTCATAGGATAAAAAGTCATTCATTTGTATTCTTTCTGTCCTATTATTCTGCTTTAACATAGGGATTTTGAGTTTAAAGAAGGATATAAAATAAAAGAAAAAGTTCTTTCTGCTTGTAAACTGTGCCAAAGTATATACATTCCTTTATTTACTCATGCAACAGTTGTACAGTAACAAGTACAAACACAAAATAAATATTGCCTGCCATGACTCTTTTGGTACATCCATTATGTTTTTTTTTTCTTCCAGAAATTTGGACAGAACTAATTCAAAACATAGGAGAATCTGAAAGCTAGGCATTTCTATGACAACATGACGTTATTCTCATAATAATAGCTGGGGCCGGTGTTCTCCCAGTGCCTTCTGCTCTCAGACCTACGTGTAAAACCTTGGCTGAACTCCTTACATCTACTTGCTTCCTCTCTCTGCCTCAAACCCCTAATCTGTATAATGGGGATGATCCGAGTATTTCCTCCCAGAGTTCTTGTAAGGATACAGGGGTTAGTTACGTAAAGTAAGTCATGCAAGTCATATCTGGCACATAGTAAGTGTTGAGAAAATACTGCTGGTGTTTTTGCCCACAGCAGGAGAAACACGTTTAGTTCAGTTCTCATTTCATAGTTTTCAGTTCTCATTAAAAGAGTGAAAAAGATCTTTTCACTGTTTTACTATTAAATCATTCAAAACATTATGAAGTGCTATTTTATAATCCTAAATCTATTAGCTATAGAATTCATATATATTTCTCCCTTATCAAAACAAATTGATATTTATTTCATAAAGATTTTTTAAAAATGTGGTCGACAGTTATTTTTCACAATTGTGGATAACTCTTTTATTGTAGAGAGGACAGGGTCTTACCTATTCAAGGAAGTAGTAAAATGGCAAAATTCGTTATGTTGTATTCTCAAAGGGTTAATAATATGTTGTGGCTTCTTTCTGTTAAAAAAAAGAATTTAGGAAATTAATCATTTAATCTGTGATCCATATAAATCTATTACATCATGTAGATAATACCAAATTCAAATCATGGCTTTCTCTTTTTCTATTGGGTAACTATGAGGCCATGAGATGAATTTCATGATGGTTCTCTATAGTCATACACTGAGCATTTACAACCAGCAAAGTGCTCTTTCAGGTGTTTGGAATAGAGAAATGAAAATGTTAACAGTTGCATACTTTTTCTCACTTTTTAGCTTTACTCTAGTGAAGCTTCGTAAGTATTATAGCCAAGGAAAAATAAAATTTTAAATTGTTTAAATTGTTTTCAGCTAATAAATAGCAGGCAATTGTATTCTCTCACAAGAGAATATATTCATCCTGGTAAATTGTTAATTATCTCTCTCAAGGACTGGGCCTCTAGCCCAGTCACATAGATTTCCTCCAGCACAGGATGGAGAGGAATTTTTTAACAACTAATTAAATTTTCCCCATAGTGTACTAAACTTACTTTGACATTCAGAATCCTAAAAGTCATTCTGGATTAGTAGTTCTGCTTACAAATTTCACTAGAACAATACAGGATACTTCTTATTGAAGTGGTATCTAGAAATAAACCCACTTACTAGAAGGCACTAGGTTTGCTTTGTACCTCTTCAGCCACTCAGGTGGAATCATCTTCAACACATAAGTGATTTGTCCTTACATGCCAGGACAGAGCTGAGGCCCAGTTTGAAATCTTGCTCTCTTACAACAGGTATCTAAATCTATGCATCTCTATGCGTTATCACCAGGGCTTGTGTGATTTCACACCTGGTAGAGTGGATGGACCCATCATACATCCTCAAGGAAGATATCGCTCTCCAAGTAAAGGGCCTTAAGACTGAAATTTTGATAGCTATTAATTCTTCTTCAAGATCCAATAGGAAAATGCAAACATGGAAAGACAAGAAGCAGTTGGCTCATTTCTTCTCTATCACCCTTCAAAAGAACAATGTGTATAGGGATATGAATAGACAGGGTTTGATTCCAACGTAACAAATATTGACTGGGCCAGGTCCTGTATTAAGTGCTTTTACATGTAATAGTTCACTTAATCTGTGAGCGTTCACACAGAATATGTAGCAGCAAACAAGTCTATTAATGGATATTAAAGTTAGAAAGGCTTAACATTAAAAAAAAAAAGAAAAGAAAAAAGAAAATGCTGCAGGCGGGAAGGAACACAATAGAATTCTCCAATCCCTCACATAATTTGACAGTTATTTTAGGAAAAAAAGTTTGCACTGCCCACACGTCTGAACACAGCTCTTTCCCCCGCCCCCCAGCTTTAGTTAGGCTCAGTGGTTCTCAAATTTGGAATATATATAACATTATTATACAGAGTTCTATACACAATAACTTCAGACTACTGAAAGAATTTTTAAGGGTAGCTTTGGTTAGAAGGTTGATTTTAGAGCAAAAATAGAATGGTAGAGCAGCTCTGCACCTTGCTCAGATCAAAAAAGTCGATCTGAATTTATTTTCCTTAAATTCCTTAATATGCATGTTTTACACTTCATCTTCATGATTTTGAAGTACATGTCCGTGTATGTGTCTAAGTATGCAAGTACACATGTATGCATGCATCTTTTACCCTAGTAAAAATGAAAAAAAAAAAAAAGAAGAAAGAATTGCATAGAACAAGTGTCAGCAAACTGTGGTCCATGGACCAGATCGGGCCTGCCGTCTGTTTTCCTCAGTTCAGTGTTGTTGGCACATGGCCACGTTCATTCAGTTCTTTGTTGTCCGTGTCTGCTTCTGTGTGCTTCAAAGTCAAGGAGCTGTGACAGACGCTGTATGGCCTTTCATGTATTTCTACGTGACCCAAACGTTTACTATTTGGCCCTTTACAAAAAAACATTTGCTCACACCTGTTATCAAAGAACATGTTCATCATTCCAGTAATACTAAAAGCAATATTAAAAAAACTAATATCCTGTCTTTTATAGTCTTTCCACATATTAACTCAATAGTTAAATGTCAATGAAAGTGAAATTCCAGCCCTGAACACTTAAAAGCTAATTTCATTCCAACAGAATTGGGAAATTATTGGCCAAAGAATGAGATGATTATGAGAAAATGGTGGTACTCAGTCATAAAAATAATGCCCCATTTACCCATCATCGTGACGTTTGTGTTTTTTTGTTTGTTATAAAATTAAAATGGCTATGCTTTTTTCTAGACTTTATTTTATGAGAAAGAGATAAATGCCATCTGGGATTTGTTTTTTTAAAAGCAACTTAGGGCCTATTCCATGAGGCACATAAAATTGGATAGTCATTTTAAATGAACACACTGCAGGTAGAAGTGATTATTTTTATTCCAGATCAAAAAGATTAAATTACTTTAACACAGTTTTTGTTAAGAATATGATTTGACACAGTCTTAGTATTTGATACCTTATATAGAGTGGCTGTGACATCCCTAAGATAATATTAGCAAACACTGATGCAGCATTTATTATGCACCAGACAGTGTTCCAAGTACTTCACATATATTCATTCACTTATTCCTCACTCTCACCCTCTAAGACAGTAACTATTATTTTCACCACTAAAACATGAGAAAGCTGAGGCCAACAGACTTTAAGTGCCTAGCATCTCATAGCCAGAAAGTGGACAAACCTCTCAACCATATGCCAACTCTTTTTTTTTTAAGATTTTATTTATTTATTTATTTATTTGAGAGAGAGAGCGTGAGAGCGCAAGCTTGAACACAGGTACGCTAGAGCTGGGGGGCGGGGCGGGTAGGACAGACAATGGGGGTAGGAGAAGCACAAGTCGACTCCACCCGGAGCCTACAGCCCAACATGGTGCTCAATCCCATGACTCTGGGGTCATGCCCTGAGCCGAAATCAAGAATAGGACACTTAGCCGACTGAGCCACTCAGACACCCCTATGCTACCTCTTTATAAACCCTGAGAACTGGTGTTAGGTCTCAACTCCGGCTAAAGACAATTTCAAACATAAAGGCTTTGGGACTCCTTGAGAAGTGGTATCTCACCAATGGCGACTTTCAGTTTACTAGAAATACCTACTGAGCACATATTTTATTCAGTGTATTCAGCTTTTTGACCAAATTGAAATGTACTCAACTACTGTTCTGTCTCCGTTCTCTACTCCATTATTCCTATCAGGCTTGCTTATGCCACTTTCCAGAACCTCTTAGAGTTGGGTGTGAAATGTTGAGATCATGACTGGCAACACCCAACAACATTAATTTGGTTAAGAACTATATTTAAGGGCTAGCCTAATAGAGAATAGGGAGAGATGCCAATAGAGAACATTGGCATCACAAAATAAGTTGAGTAAATCATTTAATGAGGAACTCAAGATAGATACTTGTTCGGCTATCGAAAAAATTAGCTTTTATCAGTTGATAGCCCAGGTAAATAGATGTGCAAACAATGCACTTAGTCTGCATATAATACGTATCTGGCTGTTGACATATTTATGTGCAAGTTATATGACACCCCTAGCACTGAAGTTAGATTGATAAGTTCATGCAGACTTAGAATTTCAGGAAGAAAATATTGCCAAGGTGTGGTTTTCTCGAGTGATGTAAGAACCCATGTTTCATTAAGCAATAAAGTCAAGATAAAATCTTCCCTGGGTTGTTAGACCAGGATATACTACTCATTAACCTTTGAAACATATTCTAGTTTAAGTATCACTTCGCTATTTTTCATCTTTTGATAGACTTTGTCAGATAAGTGAAACATCGAGATGCTTGAAGTTGCTGGAATCCTGAATAGCATTTCTGAAGGCTAACCTTGACCTCACTGGCTATCATTAGCCTACTCAGCTCTCAAATAAAGAATAGTAACATTGTTCTCTACCTCCTCTGCCGATCTGCTCTATGTGATTTTGAACAGTTTATGTAATTCAGTGCACTTGTGCATGATAACAAGATTTCAACTATTGAGGACATTCAGAATTGCCAGTACTGTTGGGAAAAGATCCACTAACCAAGCAGTCTTTAAACAGGAGAGCAGTTGCCAACATAAAATCATTTAGTCTAACAGGCTACTAAACCATTTCTATTCCCTAATACATTTAGAAGCAGCTCATTATCACTACTTATTTGTAAGTAGCCAAAAGTTACAGTGAACCAAAATGATACTTGGACAGATGAGAGAAATATCTTCCTTTCTTGGGGCTTTTGCCAAATTCCTTTTTGGAGAACACTATGCTTCTTGCTAAGGAACATACTTCAAAATATATGAATTAAGGACAGTTAACAAAAGCCCTAGTCAAAACATATGGGCTCCAGTTGACAAGAGAATCTAGGTAAGGGAGACAGTAAGAATTTTCCCCTTTGATTCCCAAACCTGATACTCCAGGCTATTGCTGAGGACTAGCAGACTGGGTTAAGCCGGCTTAGTAGAAATTAGCTAGTCTTGTCCAAAGCACCTCAACCTGATTCAAGGCCATAAAAATGGGATACAAATAGGTGAAAGGATAAAGGACTGGATTAGCCAAAAGAGCCAAACTTAAGTCTCAGAGACGTTGCACAATAAAGGTTTCTATCCTGCTCATACAAATCCTGGTGTGAGTAGGATAACGTTCCAGGCCAACTCTCTCCCACGATCTGAATATTCTTCTGTGGCTCAACTCATGGCCTCCAAGATTACAGTAGCAGGGAGGAAGACATGAGAGGGCTGCACACCAGCTCTTAAATGCTCTAATACAGAAGTGACACACATTACTTCCTCTTACCACTCACTGGACTGAACTAACCATGATGGTTCTGCCTCAGTAAGGGGTTGGGAAACACGGAGGATAAACGGAGCTCTGGTGGGGCACCTGGCTGGCTCAGTCGGTAGAGCATGAAACTCTTGATCTTGGGGTTGTGAGTTCGAGCCCCACATTGGGCGTAGACATTACTTTAAAAAATAAATAAACATGTGGAGATCTGGTGAGTGGTAAATATCTCCATCACGAGAGTGAAAGATGCATGA